GCTGTTGTCTCTGCCTCTGTTTTCAGTGCTTCTGAAGGAATTCCATTTCGACCTGTTGCTTCCCCGGATTTCAGTAACTTTATGGCATTCAGGACTTCACTTCGGCTTTTGTCGCAGGGCTTGTGTTCACTGATAGTTCTGTGGCTGAGCTGCTGGTTGTATTTCTGGGTGAGTTACAGGTGGTCGTGGTGGTGGTCGATTCAAGAGTTTAGTGAAGTGGTCAGCCCATCGTTTCCTTCGTTTCTCCTCTCTCTTTGGTAACTAGCTTTCCTTCACTTCCTTTCTTTCATTGGTTTCATCTGTGTTGATCTCTTCCATCCCAGATAGAGTACCCTGGTTATTTGATATAGCTCTGTCAGGACTCTCCTACCAGCAGCCTGTTCTGCTCCACTTACAGTGTGTCGTAAAGTGTCTTTTGTCATCACGCTCACTCTTCTTCACTCCCTTGTCCAGTGTTTTATAGTTTGTGTTCAGTTCCTCTTCACGTTGTTCATCCATGCACTGCAATGCACTGGTTCATCTTCTGCTTCACCATCTCCCTCTCCCTACTCTATCAGCTCCCATGTGGACGTCCCTCGAGATCCATTCCTTGTCTCCCTACTTCTTCCTTCCTTACACGGTTATGCAGGTTTCTTTCCACGTAGCTTTCAAAGATTTCCAGTGGTCTTCCACACAGGTTTCTTCAGGGATTTTCCTTAATATCTCCTAATTTGTCCTGATGGCTGAATGACGTGATGATGTCCTTTGTAGTTTCGCCCTTCAGTTTGTGTTCTCGGTGTTCAACTTGAACTGTGGTCGTCTATCACCAACTTCTTTGAGGGCTTTCAACTTGATTTCGATGGCAGACTACTCGCACTAGATAGTGGATGGTGTGAACTTACATCTGCCAACCCCCCCCCCCACCCGTTTCTTCATCTGATCTTGTATCCAGTAGGCTTGCTGCATCTCCACTTTCTTCACATTCAAATGAAGTCGATCTGATTTGTAGTGTAATATGTCCATCTGGTGAAATCAAATCCAGGTCGCTCGCTTTGTCAATATCTTTGTGCTTGTACACACTGCCTCCAATCACCAAATCGTTGAATGCACAGAAGTCTGCAAACAGTTCTCTGTTCTCGTTTATTTCACCGAGTGCTTCTCGACCAACGGATCAGTTCTCTTCCTGTACTGTCCACTCCCAGTTTGGCATTCATGTCACCCCACCCATTACAATTTTGATGTCGCCATCTCGGGTGGAGTCCTGTGCAGTACTGATTGCAGTTGTCCAAGGAATTTCTCCTTCTTCTCTTCATCTGCATTATTCGTAGGTGCATAGCGTAGTGTTGTATGGTTGTGACCTCCCTTCCTTTTGAGTTGAAGCTTGCTGTCGTGATCCTACAGGAGGAGATTTGTTCTCATTGCGTGAGAGCCTTTGATGCTGTTGGGGACATCATGATAGCCACTCTAAAACTCAGTGTGCTCGTGGTTGTCATCTGGGTGACAGTATCGGAGTAGATTATTGACTCTCCAATTGACAGTTTGGAGAGTCCATCTACTTTCGCGGATTTTTAGCACTTCTATGTAATACGTTATCATATCTTTGGCAATCTGCCTTGCCAGTTTTAAACATCGTGTGGACAATCCATGTCATTATGCTTACTTCAGTTTCATAGCGAGAAGGCACATTGGCCCGCTGACTTCCCGAAGGCTTTCACCAACTGGCGTCATTCCGTCCTTCAGATTTCAGAGAGGAATATGTCTGTTTTTATTTTTTATAATTTCTTTGTGCTTTGAAGTTTCTGTAGCGATTGCGTTGGTTTGACGAGGTGGGGTTACTAACCCTATGTCCAAAGTTCCCTCTTTATCCGGGCTTAGGACTGGCTAGTAACTAGTGAATTAGGCGAGGTTACTGATCTTCATGTGAAACAGAAATTCTCAATTAAAAAAATAATTAATGAAATGATTAGACTAGAACAATAGTCCAAAGTGTTGTTGCAAGTAATGGTGGGTCTCACAATGCAATACGAATATGGGATTTTCTAACCAGACTAATAGAAAAGTGCTCAGAGTAATAATAGTTTAAGACTTGATGTCGTGCCTAGGAGAATTAACAATTTTCCTGTGACCCTAAGTTGTTCGGATCCTTGAAGGGATTTCGCAAATGTAAGTCATTACCAATCCAGCTAGTAGGCATGAACAATGCCCTGACGAAACAGTTGGACATGAATATTCAACTGATGCATGAACTTGATGCTAGATAAGAAAACATATGTGTAAGCCCAGAAATTGTCATTAAGCGATAAGTTTTGAACACATGATTTTGTAGATTGCCTGTGACTGATTGCCAATACAACTTCGTGCATCACCAATTCAACATGAACTAGTCACTGACACACCCTCCAAGCCTCCATTCAGCATAGCAAAACACTGGTGCTAAATATCCGCGGCAGTTGTCACCTGAGTCATGCGTATATGCAAACTCTGAAGTATTTACCATCAACTTTTTGTTATAAAGTACGATAATATCCTCTAGATTTCTCAAAGAAGCCTGGAAAGCTTTCACAACCTATTATGACTGGATGAACGTTCCCAAAAAGCCACACGATCATAAGTATATCTCCGACTGACTAAAGGACTTTCTAGAAAAGTTTTGGAACATGCCAAGACCATCAAAACGCACATAAACCTTCATCTTTAGTACATGTTTAACTTAACAATGAACCTTAATTGTTTTTGCCGTTTCTTTCTATTTTCTAGGAGCTCATTGACCTTCAAGGGTGAAGCCTAAGGTTGTTGTTCAAGAGTTCACCCATATACCTACATATAAGTATCTACCACAAGGATATTTCACATACCATAACTCATAAGAGAGGAGATGACGTAGTTCAGCAAGTAAATTGACTTCCTTTAACAAAGAGTTATTTCGGGCCCCTATACCTTGAAGAGATAAGCGAGGAGTAAACACAAAGCTATTGAGCTAATGGATACAGTAATACTGTAAAGTAAGCCCCATGTAGACTGTCTTTCAAAATAAGTAAAAATAATACAACCAAACATGTCTATCTGAAGTTTCTGCTTTTTTCCTCCATTGACATAACAGGAAGTTGTTTTAAACTAGAGGGTTGGTCTACCGTACGTTCTCACAACTAAAATTCTCTCATCTTAGAGATGTTGAGTATCCTGTAAAAAAATATATACTGGTCCAAATAATCGGTGGGCTGGAGATGTGTGGTCAATTGGGCAGTGTAATAGGATTCTAAATAAAAAAAGAAATTGAGCCTTGTGATACCAAGGAACAACACAACAGGGTACCCGGTTCGGAATAGTATGTTTGATACAATGTGCTAAAATACTGAAGCGTTTCGACTAACTGGTTAGGAGATCTAATACCGGCAATGCAATATACCACGATAGCGTGCAAAAGGCGTAGATGCTTGGCCGTCTGCCTTCAGGTTAACCAGTCCGTTAAAACTATGAATGTTTTCAAACTTGAGGCTATTGATTTTAGGGAGATATTTGACGGTGTTTGTAAGCTAACATGCAATTTGGTTACTTGAATTCTATTCTGCCTATCGATACATATGAAGTCAGTTAGTGGTAAACAGTACGCTCATTCAGTAAGGAAGTGTCACATAACCGTTGAAGCATATCTGTTCATAATTTTTGAAGGTTAACACACAAATAAGACGAAAGCAACTGTATCATTTGATTACACGAGTTATCACATAAAAACATTGAGCACGAAATAACTTCCACTTTAGCAAATAACTACTAGTGTGTTCGGAAGCAAAGATTGATAATTCTCAGTGACGTGATCCAAAGAAAGATTAAGATTCCGCAAATATTTTCACTCTTTATGTTGTGATGTCTCAGTTTTGTATGAAACATTGTTATTGATCTAAACATTTTAACGTGTTATTCCCATACCATTTTTACGGCATGACTAATAGTCCATTTTCTGTCCCCATTGTAATGTAATTCGCTAATTGGTTAACCTTTACTCTTACTATGCAAATTTCTCCAATCGCGGACAAGGTCATTTCCCATGTGTATACTTAGTCACGTGTTTTGGATTCATTATGATTTATTATATTCTCGGAGTAATACACTCTCTCATCTGCCAGCTTCGGTCTTCTCTCTATTCGTACGGGTTGCAGTCAGTTTCTCTTGCGTACCAAGTTAGCTGTCAGCTAAGCGTGCGTATTATATTCGTTTCGGAATATATAACCATTAGCGCTTCGAAACCATAACACTATCATTTACTACTTTTCAGTTAGTTATTTATTCTTATCTGCATATCCTTTATACTATTCTAATTTCCTTCATCTTTCTCTGTTGTTTAAAAATGTGGCCACCAGAAGCGCTACATTGTTGTTTTTTTTCCATTGTTCTTCCTTTTTTCTGTTAAACATGAAAAACTTGAATCAATAATTTCGACAAACGGCGAATTCCAACCAGTAAGAAATCCAATAATCTATAGAAAGTAATGGGACGTATGTAACTCAACAACCAAGCGTATGTGTTCGTGTATTATTACACAATAAACTACATATATTGCTCCAGGAGAGTAACACTATCTAGTGGTTTCAAGACCATGGTAGGTAGAGCGGCATGTGAAACAAAAGCCTATTGGCTGAAATTCAAATCCCTAGTCTAATAAGCTAAAGGTACATACCTTGAAATCAAAATGATCTACGTCATCAAACTATAGTGGTTAAGACGATTTTAACTTATCTATATTTACCTTGTCAATTCAGCAGATTAAACGCTGTTCACTGCCTAGGTGACGAATCCAACTTCTTCAGAAAAATTACGCTCGTAAACTATTTTACGACAAAGAAAGCTACTTCAACTACAGTACCAAACTATGCCAAACCAAAACAGTATCTCAATGAGTACAATAGCCATTTTCTCAACCGCCTTAAGTTACTTATAACAAACAGTTTTCTATCTCATACTCTTCAAAAATGTTCAAAAAGGTAACCAGGATTACTGGTATCAATTTAAAAATTCGCAAAGTAAGAAGTACTAATTTATACACCAATTACATTCATCACAGGTAGGCTTGTATTATAGTCAAAATAAAAATAAAATCAACATTATAGAAGAAGGAATACACAGTAAAGATGCTTTGAATATATAATATATGAATTATAAATCGACAATTGTACTGGGTTTCGATGCAGATGAACATCTGTAAACAGTAGAATTTCTCACTGTTGTTGTATCGTTCGATAATTCAGTAATATTATTGCATGTATTATTCAAAGAAGAATATACTTTTGAAGACTGTGAATTATTTTCCATTTGTAAGCTATTAAACAATCCTACAGGTGGAAATGTTGGTAAAAATGTTGAGAAGAAAGAAGTTGCACTGGAAAACGATGAATTGCTTACACCTTGAGAACAGTCTCCGTTGCTTAAATTTGCAAATATTTGGACTTCATCAGCTGATGGAGATTCCTAAAATGAAATGGAACATAGAACAAGTGTGAAAAAAACACAGTGCATCCTGGAAAGAGATAGGGATAGCATTTGTATCCATCGAAAAGTAAGTCACTGACTCACTGGTCACGGTAGAGTAATCAATTTCATGTTGTCGAGTCTTGAGGGTACAAAGAATTCTATCGGTCATTCTTACAATGTGGCCACCAAGCTAGGAGGCTCGCGAGATTTTGGTTGGAGGCAATTGGCGACGCAGATTCGAAGCTCAGGCGGAGGCATCAGTCCCGTCGAGATTGCAGATACACCTCGTTGATAGGTGGCAACAAGCACGAAACTTAGGTCCAGGGCTTCTCTGCCGATCGCATCCGATTAACCAGATAAGCAAGTCGTCACACATTATGAAATATGAGAAATATTCAGACAATGAGATCAATTATACGTATTTATAGTACTACTACGCCTAATTCGAATCTAACTAACGGATAAGTGTTTTCCCGTAATTGGTTTTCATGGTTGAGGAGTATTCTAGTTTGTTTTTGCGTGCACATAGTTTTTAGCTGTAAAATATACTGAAATTAACGAGTTAAAACAAGGAAAATCCAAAAATATAAGTATTTCAAAATAGTTGTGAGCCATTAACATCATGGTGCGATGAATATCCGTTACTGAAGAAGAAAATCTTGATATTCCACTATAAACTACAAAATCGAAGAAATCTGTACTATTTTGAAACCAAATTATGAACTTCGAATTAACTGAAGATTTGGCATTAAGGACAGTCTAAGCGAGAGAATTGTAACTATTCTTTCGTATTGTCACGGCATCAGAAGCTAAGACATAAATAACACTAACAGGGTGAACTGAATTCAAATAATTCAATAACAACTACATAGAGATGCATATTTATAAGATGACAGTATTACTGATCTAGGGATGATTTTGAAGACTATCCTAGAAAATGTTAAAATAACCAGTTCAATTAAGTTTCGTTATTCGGACTGGAAAGTTACTTTTACACAATACAAAGGAGCTAAAATAAAATGTATCAGTAATAGTTAGAGTGACCAACAGACTAACTGAATTACTGTCAAATGTGAAATAATCACCAATAAGACAATGGCATTATCGCCAGCCACCCAAAAGACCACAATATTAGCCAAAAAAGAATTTTGTATAAAAATCAGACTCATTAAAGCATTCATATGCTCTGGGCACCTTTTAATAATAACAACACCCAATTAGTAGATAGATGGATGGGTGGATAGATAGATAGATAGGTAGGTATCCGCATCAAGTATGGTAGCAAGAACTATGGAATGTAAATGATAAAAGATAGATAGTAATACTGATCATTCAGTTTAAATGCCACCCTAGCAATTGACAGAATGAACAGTCAGGTTTCATTGTTATATGGGATGGTAAATCTTCAGCTACTAGGATGAACTTTAAAGTTGTTCGCTATTCAGAACATTTTGTGTTGAATATTTTTATTTGTAATAATAACAACAAACTTGTTTCGATTTCAGCGACCAGCCCATGGTCGCTGGTCCGAGTCCAGCCGCAGTACAGATTTCCATCTCACCTTCAATCATCACCCAGTATATATACTAATTATATATATTCTTACCGGCGACGCCCATTACACAACTACAATGAATTAATGTCTTACTGGGTGCATCACTTTCCGATTGTACTGGCAAATATAAGAGTTTCTTGATCGGTAATGGACCATATCTTCCGCTATCATTCGTAGTAATTAGACTATATAAGCAAAATTGAATGTAAGTCAAGTGGGCACCAGTTCTATCGACAACGTTTTTGCAATATGACTACCATTCACTCAAAAAAGTGATATGACACACAGTCGTGCAATATATTTAGGTATTAGACGGTTGAAAAGGATTATCAGGTTATTTGATCAGCTAATTTTAATAAAATCACTGCTATCAAAGTCTGTTTACGATAGAAACATATTTATTTCTACACTGAACCAATACATGAATGTAGAACAGTCAAAACAAGCACCGGTCAACATCAACGGGAGAAATCTAAAGGAAGTTGTCTCTTCCATCTACCTACCCACTTAGGCAGCATCGTCTCAACTACAGGTGGTGGCACAGATTAGCATGTCAATCCCAGAATCCGAAAGATAGCAAGACAGGTCTTCATCAATCTGAAATCACTATGGAGATCTACTGCACTACACTACACTGCACTGCACTACACTCAGCATAAAGCTTGAACGAGATCCCGATTTTCAACACTAATGTCAGTCAAGTCAGTGTTTCCATGTGATGGTTCAGGGACTCGGCATGTCACAAAAGTATTTCCTACAAACTGCACACATCATACATGAACAGCTGCCGTCTACGCTCACTCGATACTGAAGATGAGATCAGATGAGAAGGCCAGAAAGAATAAGCAACAAGGAAGTCACTCTGGCTGGCTGGCCGGCAACGAACCAAACAAGAACCCATCGTCCAACAAATATACAGAGGAAGAAAGTGGAGATGGATTGGATTGGATTGGACATAGACTGAGAAGACCATTGGGGGACATGATGCGTCAGGTCAGGCCGTTGAGTGGAACTGAAAGGGGAAACGACGAGTTGGGTGTGTGAGGAGAGAGTGACATGGAGGAGATGTGTGAGGAAGAAATGAAAGTTTTTTGGGAGTCGTGGAGCTAGGTTGAAAAGACCGCAGAGAATATAGTGAAATGGCGAAGTGCTATTGAAGCCTAACGTTCCACTAGGAACCTAAGGTACAAATACCAATAATTGTACATGAGCGCCTAGTTTCACTTACGAATACACTAGATAAAATTACATGTCAACAAATCACATTATGAGGTTATTGGCTTGATAGTGGTTAGACTTAGAATCTCAGACAGATGTTTCCTGCAGTTCGAGGCTCACCTGGATGTACCTGGATTCCAGTAAGTGGTGTTCCCACTGTGATTCGAACCCACGAAACACCATTTCAAGAAACCACAGTTGTTATCAAATCATCTGGACATCGGTATATCCGGTGCACTTAGTAGAATAAGATGAAAAAACAAGGTAAAACTGAATAAAATTAGCGGGAATTCAGTGTCATATATCTCTGAAGGATATTTAGCATCTTTGTGTATAGACACTACCAATAATATGAACCTGAAATTAACTGTCTACGAAATAATTACCAGTTGAAGTCATTCCATATTTTGTTTTTATTAGTGTAACAGAAAACAACAAAATAAATGGAAATTGTTCATAACTTAACGAGGTGAAGTTTCAATTCAGGCGGCTAAGAAGTTAACATTTTGAAGCTTATTAACCACTATATGATAGATACAGTGACACTAAACAGTAACGGTCAAGCATAAGTAAGGCACATTCAGATGTTTCAGGAAAATCATACTCCTTTGAAGATTGGATTTGAATCGTACAGATAATACTTAAACTACACACGAAGCTGTGGCTTAATGGTCAATACAATTAACTTTCAAGGAGTAGAGTTAGCGATTTCAACAAAGCTCCATCTAATGCTTGCTAATATCCTATTGTTATACTAGGTGGAATTGCTCGACATTTCCTGACAAAAGAGGTCGCTCTTGTGACTCAGTGGTCTAGGAGATAATGCTTTGTCTCAATGGGAAAGCAACCAATCACTGGAGTAAAAGCATATCCAGTTGACGAGCCCCGAATAGGACGAAATGCACGCAAGCTACAAGCTCCACTTATTTTAACTTGAAGTAACGTATTACACGAGCGATCATATAAGTATGATTTATTGCTCAAAGCACAACAATTTATATTCATTCATTCTACTGAGGAAAAAAAGAAACGAGAAAGTGAGCGTTAACATTAACAATTTCCATTTATAATAGGTAACTACGATTTTAAAAAACGTCAGTTTTACCTACAGGTTGTGGTAGTTCTGACAAGAAGAGATTAGGATTTGTTTGAAGTAATCTAACAGCTGAAATGCAATCTTCTTTACAGCGATCCTAAAAATTGAAAAAAGCCATAATGTATAGTAAATACATTAGGTTATTCAACGTCACAAATCATATTATATAAATCATCATTATGTAAATGATAGAAATAAAACAATGAAAATAAGATGAAGGTCCTGGGTTTAATTTCTGGCGAGGTCATATGTGCGCACCGCTGAGGAGTCCCATACTAAGATGAAACAGCTGTTTCAATTGCTCCCAGGTTTCCAATGTTCCACCAAATGATGTCAGTCCCTGATAAATTTCAACCGAAAATAAGATGTATTGATTGCATACAAATAAGTGATTTCGGAAACATGAAGCAAATCTTTGAACCTCTTGCTTGGTGATAATTAATATACCGTTGTATTCTTCAGAGCCGACTAAAGTTCATTCATAAACGAAAACGATACCTCTACTAGACTTTGAAGCGCTTCGAAACCGTATTACACTGTACTATCTGAGTGGAGATAATTCAGGATAACTCTGAAAATAAGCGTCATCACATTGTTATTATCGGTGTAGAACCTGACATTGCTACGTAACAGTAAAAGCTACAACGTCTCTTATCAGCACATCAAAATACAAGACAACAGTAAGAAAGAAAGAGGAATATAAAGTGAAATTTAATAAAACTCGTGGAAAGACATGAGACGAAATGCGATAAGAGGAGTAACCCCCACAGAGCCCATGAAATGCTTGAATGAGGGATGATCAGACTAGTTCCTCTTACAATGCTCTCTCATGCAGCTACACGTTTATGTCCTATGAGAGGAAATTCCCACTCACTGGCTTCATGAAGGAAGGTGTTTCCACAAGAAAATGTAAAAGAGGTCGTTCTATGCTCTAATTGGATCGGTGTACACGGAAAGTACATCAAGAAGAATTAGAAAATCCTGATTACAAACCACTGAAGCAAATGTCCTTCGCGATAGGGAACGACAGAATCGTGCATAAACCAACCTTGGTAACCGGCAATCATGGAAATGTAGCGCCTCACGTTGCTCCACTTTCCTGTTAATCAGATGTAAACTTAAAAGTTAGGGTAGTGGTCCATAAAGACAATCGCTCTCTTTTGTTTGGGCGTCTGTACAGTATCACAACCTATATACAACTTATGATTCAATATTAACAATGAAGACTTGTAAAGCGCTCATAGGTCTCGGTGCAAGAAACAAAATTCATTGATTGACGAACTCCTACTCAATGATCATGACCATTATTTCTGAAAAATACTGCCTTTTTGCAAACTTTTTTGAGTCCTACTGAAATCAACAATTACGGAGTAGAGAAAAGTGATGAAAATAATAATGTTTATCAATAAGGTAAAATAAAATGTCTTAGGGAGATTATGACCAAGGTAAACTCAGAGATTGGATGTACCTCTTTTGAATGCAGAGCCCAGGGTTGAACCGACGAATTGCCAAGGCTTGTGCTGTATTCAGGCGGCGAATCCTCATTCCCTTCGAAATGTTTTATTTGACTTTGTAAATGACTTTGAAGTGAGATTCTTGTGAAGCAGAGTGACGAGAGTTAACCGAATGCTCAATAATTGGACGATTAATTACTTTACACTTTTCTTAAGAAAACCATGCAGGATAGTGTTCGATGATGTGTTTGGACAGAACAAGCTTTTTGCTAGGTATGTAACCAGTCCTACAAAGGCAAGTGAACTGGTAAAAACACATAGAAGTAGTTTGTCTTTTACATATCCTTGAATCAGATGTTAACTTGGTAAAACAATCAAAAGTTGAAACTGGTCACACAGCATGCAGAAAGCGTGTTCTATCCAAACGCATTACTGAACACTATCCTGCATGGTTGGCTAAAAAAAAGTGTGAAGTGGTAAATAGCCCAATTTTTGAGCATTCGGTTAACTCTTGTCACTCTGTTCCACAAGAATCTCACTTCGAAATCATTTATAAAGTCACATCAAAATTTTCGGAGGGAGTGGGGATTCGACCTATGTACACATCACAAGCCTGGTAATTCATCGGCTCAAACCTCACCCCTGCATTTAAAAGAGGTACATCCAATCTCTGAGTTTACCTTGGTCATAATCTCCCTAACACATTTTATTTGTTTATTTTACTTTATTTATGAACATTATTATTTTCACCCTCTTTCCTAACTCCGTAACTAAGTTTTATAAAACTCTCCCAATTTTCGTAACTGTTCTATTACTTTATAGATTATTACATAATCACCTTGGAATGACCTAGAATCGAACTCCCAGCCGTTACCTTGTAATCTTATGAACACTTTTTGGTGACCTTGTGTTGACCCATTATTAAGCACTAATGAACATATATTTCAGAAGTTTCGTAACCTGGCGACATAATTAGAAACTGAATTGTGATCAGGCAGAACAAGAATGAGTAACGAATTACTTAAGAAGTGAGTAGTGTCAAAACAGAAAGATGAAAAGAAAAAAAGGGGGGAGTAGAGGAGACTGAAAACTAAGACCATGAAAAGAGGAGTTGAACAGTCTTCTCTCGTGTACATAGTTTATATGGATGGCAAAAGCTTCGACGACGAAGACATACATCCTTTGGAGCGTTTCTTTTCACTTAACAGATGACTTTAAACGAGGAGGTTTTTGAGATAGGGTGATTTATATTCACGATGTGTTCAATTATAGCACTCCTTATCGCTCTATTGTTACATCTTTGTAACCACGCGGGATAGTGTTCTTGATGATGATTTTCTTGTTGATTTCGCCGATATACTGCTTTTTGTGTAGAATATTGAGTGGGAAAGTATATATTTGTTTGTTTGAATGATTGACATTTACGGCAACAAAAATGACCATGAAAGTGTTTGCAAAGAGTAGTCAGTCAAATGACAATTATAATGAGTTATGGTTCAGTAAATTAAACAACGGATCCTTTTTTGCTGTTGATTTATTAGATTTATCACATAGTGGAACAGTATTGTTCACTAGAATACATTTCGGACATAATTTATTGTCCATAGTCGTAACAAGATAACTATACAACTTTCAGAGATTCTTTATATAGTCCTAATCTCCTCGACCTCTTTGTGATATGGGTAGTAAGATTTCCATATATTCGGAATAGGTGCTGAGTAATTCCCGTTGCATGTATTAGGCATTGATATGATAAACAAAGATTCAGTTATTAATCTCTCCCTCCACCCTGCTATGTTAGTTTTAAGGATTTTCACCCTATCCCATAACATTGTGTGGTTGTATGTAGTTGGATGCATAGCTTTGGCTGAGCATTTTTCTAAATTCCTTACCTTACTAGGGTCTACAGACTTTAACCTAGTTATGATTTTGTGCTCAGATAGCCTAACTGACCCTGATAGACTAAACTGACCTATGCATTTGAGCTCGGGATAGTTGCAAGGGATTTGGTAAACTAAGTTATTCTGTTTAATTGGATCAATGGGATCTTTTAACTTACAAAAACTATTTCGAAGTGAGTTTGTAGATTTAAATGCCGATTTAATCCCAGCCTTATTGAAAATTCTATGTAGTGCTTCTGGAATCACAATGTACTACAGGACACAAGTTTTACTCGCATACTAACAAACAATGGGTCATGAGTTCAAATTCTGTAGTATCGGCAAAGTTTGAGCAGTGAGTCAGTATTACTAACAGCCACTTGATCCCTGGCTTAGTGCATGAGATTTTACATAGTTGTTAAATTGCAGGGTATACACTGACAAAAATTACCACAGGAAGAGATAAAGCAAAATTCAATTCAGAACTTGGAACAATGGTTCAAGTTAATGTATCTGGAAAATATACATGATGAAAGTGACCAGTACACAACAGTAATTATACAAAATACACAGTTTTGCCATTGGAAGTATTTAGTTATTAGATTTTAAGGCATATGTCAACATTCCGAAATCTACCGCTCAACTTGTAGAATGGGATGGTTCACAAGATTTACGGTGAGATAAACACTTCATCATCCTACTTCGATCTCAGAAGACCTCAGTCGTACAAAGAAAGTAAGCTAACAACTTGATTAGTCAAATTTCGATTAACTCATAGCGCTTTATACAGCATTATGAATCACTATGAGTAGTTTTTCAGTTGTCCGAGTGTGGCGAAATATTATAAATCAGCCAGAGTGGTTTCTAACTACTCAATTTGTTCATTAGTAGTATCTGCCTCTAGTCCATAAAAGTCAAGTGTCACAGACCCCATCTTGTGATCTCGACTGAGTGGTTTCCAGTGGAAACCTTGTTGACACCACAGTTGAGCAGTTAGAAAAGTATTCAGATGTGAGAAATGTCAAAGTGGACCATAGAATTTGTAAATCATTTGCAAAGTGATCATCCTATTTTGGGTGGTAAACCGGTTCCTGGAAGTCAATTAGCCAGATTCAAGTAATCTGAACCAATATGACTCTATGAGCTGAATTTGTCCGTGTACACCGCTGATAAGATTGACCCCAAAGAAGCAAACAGTTGTTCGGTGCTTAGCTCACTCTGATCTCGCTGGCGAAATACTACAGATCAGCCTGAATGATTTTTAACCACTCAAGGTGTTCAGTAGTATGTTTCCTTAGACCAAATAGTTAAGGATGAGTTGGCGTTACAAAGAAAAGGTCAATAAATTGTACAGAATCGATCTCCAACTAATATAAAGGAAAACTAATTACAATAAACTAACCCTCTCTTGTGTAGTAGCATTCAATGACTTCTGTGCTTGTCTTAAAGAGTTTTTAGTTGATTCCAATTCTTCAGTTAACTGTTGTATCTCAGAGGTTGACTTCTCGATCTGAACAACAGACGTAACACACATGTACATACAAGGAACGAAAACAAGAATGAATGCAGTCAGCAATTTTAACAAAAAGGTGTATATACATATATGCCATTCCAATTGATGGAAGTTCACAACCTCATCGATTAATATGTCTTCCTTGCTTAGTACTCAGCACCTAACCACAACATTGATTACATGATGATGCCATATAACGCATGAGCACTCTAACGAAGTCAACAATGATCAAAAACCTTTAACGTTTTAGTAGTTACTACATTCAGTAATCGTGTTTCATGACTTTATAGAATGACAGAGTAAACTGTAGCACAGTGTACTCGCATCCAACATCTACAACCCATTCATGTTCTGATTAAACATTAAGCAACAGAAACATGACTGCAGACCAGCTGAACAGTTTTTCAGTGCTCCGCTAAACGTTACAACTTCGTTTACTTAGGGGTTATCAGCTATCAGGATTTTTCGATGAGTTTAACTGATAATCATCTTCTTCATATCAGTTTCCTTGAAAGGCCTAAATAACTACCAACTAGTACCTGATGTTAATGTCTTCTACATCTTTCCAGCTTCTAAAACCCACTGTCTGTGATTATTTTGAAGGTTCAGTTGGTTTAGGTTTAGGCGTCTTTCTTTTCTCCTCATGGTCACAGTCTGCTGGGATGCATCTTGTCGGATCAATAAGGTCAGATGAGGACGCAGGAAACAACTGGCTTTTACTAGCCTTAAATGTAGGGCACTATTTTCGCTTGTATTTCTACAGCAGACTGAATATTACGCCAAACTTCATCCCGATGGTGGTTCCAGGTGCGTTCAGACAAATGTCCAGCTAGCACCACTCTAAATATATATTTCATGTTGTTAACTTTCAGCCAACAATGTACAGGTTTTAGATCCATTTTCTGTGTCTGTTTAAGCGCAAATGCACACCTGTCTATACCAATGCACGGTCACAGTTCGAGTACATACTCTAAAAATAGCGACAATCCACAATGCTGTCTGACCAACTTACAATACAACGAACAGTTATTATGAATCTGAACCATAATCTGATAATGTTTCAAGTAAATGAGTGGCATGACTCCTTATACCCATTATTATACTAATAAAAACACACCACTCATCCTCCAAACTGCAATACATCTTTAGTTAAAGTAGACTAAGTTTCGCAGCAGCCGAGTAGAACTGCAAGAATCGAGAAAACACACACCCAATATTTTACATTTAAACTGAATTTTAATCGGCAATGTGTGTGCACTTACAGATTCCGCTAAAAAACGGCAGTACTAACAACATTTCGACCAGAAAGCAAAGAAAAACTTATACAAACCTATCACCGAAATTCATCACATTTCATCATCCTTCTTAATGTAAAAATCATTAATATAACAGGATTAGAAAGTGTAGCCGTTTAATGTTAGATGAATGGTACAATTCAAAGTTAATGTAGACTTGTAGGTTCATCATGGGTATTAAGTTACCATGAGCATATGAATTGAAATGTTTAAAAATGATAATATACTTCAGTGTATCCTACAGGTAAGAATATATAAGGGTCAAGTGACCATCAGAACACGACATACACTCAAAAGCTTACAGTGAAGCATGAAATCTGGTGTTATCAGATTGACAACAAGTTAAGATTTCTAGGGGTCAAACGCTTTACAAGGAATAACAAAAAGAAAGTGATGAAAACGATGTAGTGTAACAGAAAACCGGAAAGCTCTGTAAAGGACTGGGATTTCCATACTACCTTATTTTGAGGAATAAAAGAAGGAAGGAGTGTAGACTTGATACACAAAGTCCATTTTTAACAACTGATAAGCCTAAGTGTAGCTGAACGAGAAATCAACAAAATGTGATGCTATATTCACCTTGGTGACTAGCAGTGGAATAATCCAGAGCCCATCTGCCAACAGAGGTCGAGCATTTTAGCCCTGTATAGCAACGGGGAATTATAAGTATCAAAACAACGACTGATACCCGTTGTACAAGAGGTGGCTATCGTGCCCCAGTGGATAGTGCTTTGGTGTTTGAAGCGATGGGTATTGGGTTCGAGTCTTAGTGGGAACAACATCACTCACTGGGGAGCAGGTACATCCGTCTGATGAGTCCCAAATGAGACGAAACGCGCATCCTAGACTCCACTACTGGTCACCAAGTTGAATTTAACATCATGAATATCCGGCAATATTTAGGCATCCGTATTGGAGCCCATCTGCCAACAGAGGTCGAGTAATTCGATCCTGAGTAGCAATGGGAAATCACAAGTATCAAAACAAATGTGATGATGAATATATCAAAAAGGTAGTCACAGGTAATAGCCAAATCTAAATGTGTTGATGGTGCTTTCGGGAGTTAACACAATGATTTCAGTTGACGAATCGAACAACTAACGCGGGACTTACTAGATTCTTCTAGGTATCTACACATATTTGGTAGGTGGCTGACATTATCCTCAGCAAAATAGAATCATATGAAGCCGGATAATAAAAGTGCACACGATAAGTTTAGTTTCGATTGTATTCATTATGATTTACGTCATAGTGTACAGAGACAGACAGAGAAAATTATTGTAGGACCTCGCACACAAGTGCATCGGCTCATGCTGCCACACTTCACAGTAGTATACAAAGGCATGTGGATATAAAAAGACTCATATCAAAGTAGACAAAGTAGTGTGAGAGAACAAAGCCAAAAATAAACGTTAGTGCCAGTATTCAAGCTTTAGAAGATGTCAAGGAGTGAATACATGTGCGCCATTGTAGGCGACTTTCAGCCGTGTCCCCAAGTCTTCAACCACTGATTCCTTTCTTCTTTGGTACCCCAAGCCAAGTAGTCTACATCTCCCAACATTGCTCAGACAAACAATCAGGGACTTCGTCAACCAAAGCCAGGCCTTGGTCTGTCCGCCCTGAACCCTCTTCCAACCTAATCCAACTTCCCCTAGCATGGCATGTCAAGGTAGGCGATTGTTGGGTATGCGCAACACATCTCAGTCGACTAAGGTTCACCACCTCGTCAACCGACTTATCTGTCTTGTCCAGTACCCTTCACCTAACTTCAAAATCTCTGACACATATCCACTTTGAACATCACAAATTTCCACTTAATCAACAGAAATTCTAGAGGTGAACACTGTAAACGCATGTTTCTACTTGTATGTGTCCTACGCGTCATCTCACAAGGTGGATATGTCAACCGTAAAACAAACCAACAGTTAGACATTCGAAATTCTCTACTTGCAAGAGACTGTTTCCATAACAGTGAAATAATTATTTGCAGAAAATGAACAATAGGAACCACTATACAAATGAAACTACTCCCTAGTTTGAAAAATGAATGCATGTTTTGAAAAGAAGCCTACAGGGGATGTAACTTATAAGAAACCGAAGGGAAATATGTGTCTGTTTAGCGCATGTGCCAGCAAATAGTTGAATAGCATAAGCATCAAGTATGTATCCTGGACATTTATGAATAGAATTATATCCGACTTTAAGGAGTCTAATGATGAGAATTTTGGTGAAAACTCGAGAAAGTCGACTTTTGACAACAGAATAAGATTAAATGAATGAAAATACTTTAAGATTGATAGTATTGTTTTGTAACTAGCAGTGAACGCCTTATAAACTAAGCTACAAGTAACTTATTCCAAAACCAAACTAACTACACTCACTGTTCTTAGGAAACAAGTAGGCTGTAGGTTGAAAAATATCATTCATGTGAAACTACGCTTGTGATAAGCATAATCCACTTTAAAGAATAACAGAATATCCTTAAGAAACGTATTGATTTTTTCATATGTACAAAATAAAGACATTTGTATTTGGTAACTAAGAGATTGAAATATTTAATTGTTTCTTTAGGGTCAGCTAAAGGAAAACATGATAAATGTCAACAGTTTTTGCAAGGCGCTTTATATGGCAAAAGAGAACAATATAGAACAAGATAGTGGATGCAGATGAATTCGGAAAATCTGGTGCCCAAGTTACCCAATCAGCATGAGACACTAAGGTCTTGTGTCTGGTCTAGTGAGAAGTTATGGTTACAAGAGTAAGCTGACCGTTCTATGTTTTCTGTTGATGATATGCATGTGTAACAGAAATCAGACTAAAATTACATTCTTATTTCATATTTGACTAGGGGTGGATATGAAAACACGCCCCTTGATCAATTTTCCTTATTTTGAGACAGTGAGGATGTGTGAGCAGGGCCGGATTACAGGCCACTGGATAGATTCATGCATTCACAAGAACACGCGATGTGCTGAATCCAACAGAAATTTAACCAGTGTTGGATAGATAGATGGACTAACACAGAACAACCACACAAAAATACAGTCTTTCAGTCTATCACACTTTGAAGCAGAACAGATGAACTGAAAAAAACATTAAAAGGGATTAAATAACAAAGGTATAATAATAGGAGAGACATTTAAAAACCGAAGTTAAACTGAAAGTGTGACTATAAAGGCCACCCTAGCAACAACTGAACTAACCAACCAGGCTTCTCTATTTTATGAAAACTTGCCTTTCCAACCGAAATGAAGAAACCTAATTGGTTATTTTGATCGTTACTAAGGTGGCTTTTAAAGTTTCCTGAGGTTTCTGTACTGCTTAAAACGTATACTGGAAACTAAAAATTTAATAACGGGTAGAAATTGTTATCGAACAGCTTTGGTATTAAAAGGTTAGTAGGTATCTTAATGACACATACAGTAAAAACATGTTCAAATGCTGGTACACCTTCTGATGTCTAAACCGTATAGTGTAACTAGCCTTTACACAATGGGTAGTACAAAGCTGATGCTTTCTTATGAGAAGAGTACTTAGAAAAGGTCAACCCTATATCCCTCTATACCCCTCGGCATACCATGGGTTCACAAAAACAAACTAAACTATCAAACTACTAGAAGGATCCTGTGTGCCTGACCAAGTTACACGCACTAACCCTTCCATTTTATGTACCTCAAAAACAATTAGCCTTTTACGTTGTGG